AACAATGGCAAAAATCGAAACATGAACGTTAAGCTTCAATATGACATCAGACCAGTTAATCGCTTATAGCGACCTACAACAAACTCTAACACCACCTAAACAAATGAAACGTACCATGAAACAAAATATCACTATCTGTCCTGGGGCATTCAATGCCCATGCGTTGCGTCTTAGGGTCGCGAACGACCACACAACAGAAAACAAGAACTATGTTTTCTCGGTTCACTACCAGCGACTCACAAGCAAATAGGCAATAACACGTGGACCAACAAGAACGCCCTGAGCGACCGGCCAGTCGAATGCAGAAAGCCAAAATAAGACTGGTCCCCGGTGCGTTGCCCTTTTAATGCCCAGTGGCCAGATATCTTCGCATGTGCAACTAAATCAAGGTATTCGTCGTTTCGCGGCTACATATTTTTAAAAACTTGCCCCAGAAATCTTCCTATTTTAAAAATATTGCTTTGCTTATATTATCTCACCCTTTTATTTATTCTTAATGTTTGTAGCGTGTTCGAATGCAATAAAACAATTAGCTTGAAATGCGCCAAATTCTCGAGTGCTGTCGCCACAAATGGTGCAGGTTTCCAGCCTTACCCAGGATTCGAATCCGTGTCTTCCGCTTGAAAGCCCAGCGTTCGAACCGTTCGGCCAGCCGCTCTTCTATTCCACTTTTTATTACCTCACATATATGTTCATGTGTTTTGAGATAAGCTTGTGTAATCGGAAACGGAAGGGCCTCAGGTCTTTATGTAACTTAGGGCCTTATCAAGTCTCAATGAGGTCCTGCCGGCTGTGATTGACCTGACTGACCTGGGCGCCAAGTCAATCCAGCCTAAGCTGGGTATCAGGGAACTTGCAAAACACCTGTTAGGAAACTTAAAAGACTCCACCCTAATGTCTACACCACGAGCTTGTCTCTGCTTTCCAGACCAGTGCATCGTTTAGAAAGCATGCACAGCTACGCTTTCTGAAGTCTCATTCACTGAGTCAGCTGTCGCCTCTAAAATGAAAGCTGGTTGCAACTGATCTGTAACACACTCTGTCCTTTGTCCTGGGTAAACACCCTCTCAAAATGTTCTTCCTATTCTGACGCTATCCTTCTACAGGTATCGCTGTCTCCCCCTTGCTCGTTTGCCTTCTACTGTTCACTCTAGTGTGGTACTTATTAATTGTTTTGTTTTTTAATATGTCTGAGATATTTCGCTTGTCCCATGTTAATGTTCCTCGGCAACTCTCTGTTCATTTACTAGTCTTCACATAACCTCTGTGTGTGATCGTTATACCCCTCCCCCCCCCCCCCACCTCCTAGCCCCCCCCCCCCCCTAGTTGCCCTCCCCCCTCAGCCACCAAAGAAACACGATCTGTATTTTCTGTCACACTTTTTTAGTACAAATCTGATGATTACATTTTCCTGCAGCCGTTCACATTTGTTCATTAAATGCAAAAACAAAACAAAAAACTGACGTATAACGTCCACAATTCTAACACAGTAAGCACAATTACATTCCGCTAGTTCCTGTTGTACACATATTTTTACTTTGCTTGTGTCTGCTTCTTCTGGAGGTAACTGATTTATGTGATTTCCTGGGATACATTACATCTGTTGCTTTCAAAATATTTTTCTACTGTCATCACATATTTTCAGCATTGCGTGATTTGTCATGCGTATTAATTGCATGTTGTTATTTATGGAAATGGTTAATTGGGTGTTGAGTGACAGCTACAAGGTTAAGTCGTCCCCATGTGGGGTACAATTTTTCATTATTTGAAGCCCCACCCTGGATTTTTCCAGGGGGCCTTAAATATAACCGGGCCATAAATATGACCTAACGACTGAACGGGGTTTCTGGGACCTCTATTCGGGTGATCCTCATCGGCCTGGTGCAATTTTTGTCACCGGGTGTTTATCGCTTTGTGTGATGTCCTGGTAGAGTACAACATACAAACATACATACTTGAGTGGCAACTGCTATTTCTGGAGATGGTTGTTTCTGTGTTGGGTGACAGATCATTTTTGTTAAAATAACCGAGCATAAATATTAAGTATACATATTACAATTAGGGCTGTACCGAATAGTTATTTTCACTATTCGGCCTAATACAAATAGTGGGACCAACTATTCGGCCGAATACGAATACGAATAGTGTATCGACATCATCAGGTGCCTTGCCGACTGGCGTGGGCTATCATGCCTCTCCACAATCTGCGATCTCCTGCAGCATGTATCAGTTCGTGTGCTGACACTTCCATGCCATTCAACAAGTCTGTCCAGAATCTTCTCTCGTTGTCTTCCTCTATCCCTCCTTCCACCGATCTTTCCAGTGGTCACCAAATGTTCCGTTTTCCCTCTTCTCATAACATGGCTGAAAAATGACTACTGTCTACTTCTGATGTCTGTGATTAGCTGTCTTCGGGCTCCCGCGTCTTTAAAAACCATCGTTCGCTCGGCCGTTCGTTCGATGTAATTTAAACGCACCTTCATATTCTCGTTAGCAATATCTTCAAATTTGATTTGAGGGAATACACCCTGAAAGAACGAAAAATTCATAATTTCTCTCTCCCCCTCTCTATCTCACACACACACACACACACACATGCACACACACATACACACACACTGCGGTTGGCATTTTATGCAGTTTGTATCACGCAACGGAATCGCAGTTTCCCCCGCTACGACAGACTTAGGCAACAGCAACTATTGTGTTAATAAGAGTTATTTCAGTCCATCACAGTGTATGCAGAAACGTGATTAAGGTAACCACTATTCGTATTCGGTCCGACCGCAACTATTCCGCCGAATACCGAATAGTTATTAGGTCCACTATTCGGCCCCGAAGCGAATATTCGGTACAGCCCTAATTACAATTGAGGGTCTCTGTGGCAAATGGTTAAAGTCATTTGCCTCTTGCTTTGAATATATATGGGTTCGATTTCGTATGAAACTTTACAATATATCTTTGAAGTACAAACAGATCAACAAACTCTTTATCATCAACCCTTTACCCACCGGGGCCAGCTAGGTATCTAGGGTAGTACTTAGTCTAGCCGTCTATAATTAACCACCTCAAGAGGTAAATAGAGCCGATTATGAAGTATTGCTGTGAATCACAGACAGTCTGCCGTTAGTAAATAATTATGTCGTCGCTGCAGATATTTGGTCTTGTAGACAAATGATGACAACGTCGTGTGCAAACAACAAGTGTGAAGAAGCTGTCTTCAAAAGAACTAAACTCACGAAGAAAACTAATCACCCACAGTTGAAGGATACTTCGTTTTTTTTTAGTCACATTGTGAGAAAAGGAAAACTCAACACAACGTGACAGTAGAAACGTTGGAGGGAAGAGACACCAAGGAAAACCAAAAAGATGCTGGACAGTTTAGCACCATTGGCATGGAGATCATCTGTGTCAGAAGTTACTGAAAGTACATGAAACAGAAGCCGGTGGGAAAAACATGATGACCAAATTATTACGACACGGACTATAAACAGAAGGCAGAACGATGTATCTGGGATTTATTCCTGTGAGATTTACACGTCAGTGACTTAGGCGTTGCAAACTCGCTTCGTAATGCCGAAGTGCCGGGTGCGATCCCAGCTGCGGGCGGTTAGTCTTGCGTTGGTTTCGACTAGGGCTGTACCGAATATCCGCTTCGTAATCGCTTCGGGGCCGAATAGTGGACCTACTAGCTATTCGGTATTCGGCCGAATAGTGGCGCTCGGGCCGAATACTAATAGTGATTTCTGCATACACTGCGATGGACTAAAATAACTCTCTCATTAATAATGTCACAATTTATAGCCGTCTTTTCTTGATTTTCGCCGCGGCACCCCTGTCATACGCACCCAGTTTTAGAACCTCTGCTGTAATGCCTCGGAGTCAGGCGCTGTTACCACGCAAACGGGTCGCCGTTTTTCCCGCTACGAAAGATTTAGGCATCGCTACTGTTGTGTTAAAGAAGGCATGAAGAAACTTGAAAGTGTATCTGTGTGTGTGTGTGTGTGTGTGTGAGAGAGAGAGAGAGAGAGAGAGAGAGAGAGAGAGAGAGAGAGAGAGAGAGAGAGAGACAAAGCATGCATTTTGTTTGTTCTTTCGGGGTGTCTTTTCCCAAATCAAATTGAAGATATTGCAAACGAGAATATGAAGGTGCATTTAAATTACATTGAACGAACGCCTGAACGAAAATGATTTAAATGCGAATTTGGCACATGGATAAAATCAGATGAAAGGTGCATTACTAAAATAAAAAACAAAATAGGACAGGCTAAAAATGCATTTTATATTTTTTTTTAAAAAGAACATCTTGTGCAATATATCGTTGTCTTGCTTGCTACATACATCCAGTTTTAACATATGGCTATGAGTCCTGGACAATCGGTAGCCAGGCTAAACAATTTTTTGAGGCCTCAGAGATGTGGTTTTACAGAACAATGCTTAAAATACCTTGGACAGCTTAAAAAAAGCAACCACTAGGTTTTGAAAGAGGCGGGAGCCCGAAGACAACTAATCGCAGACATCAGAAGAAGACAGTCATCATATAGAAAGAGTGAAAATGGAACATGTGGTGAGCACTGGAAATATTTGTGGAAGGAGAGATAGAAAAAGACAACGAGAGAAGATTCTTGACAGTCGTTGCACATCATGGAGGTGTGTCAGCACACAAACTGATACATGCTGCAGGAGATCGCAGATTGTGGCGAGGCAAAATCGCCACACCAGTCGGCGAGGCACCTGATGATGATGATACACTATTCGTATTCGGCCGAATAGTTGGTCCCACTATTCGTATTCGGCCGAATAGTGAAAACCACTATTCGGTACAGCCCTAGTTTCGACACCGAAAACCGACCGACCAGTAAGCAATGGCAAACTGCTGAGCGTAAATAGCCTCGAAAAACCACAACAGCCAAACAATTCTAGGGTTGGTTCTGCAACATCCTATAAAGAATACGCAACTAACAGATTTCCATGCGACGTGAAACTTCCGAAAGCAGTATATGGAAAGGGTGGTGGGGGTGGACGGGTGGGAATTTCGGTCTAAAAAATTCTTCCATTTTATTTCAGATCGAAAAGGGCCCAGTTTGAAGGAGCTGAAAAGGGGCGGCGACTCTCGCGTTGGATGTGAGGAGATTTATCTGCCCATGTGTAAGGGCCTTGTCCCATACACACATACAAAGTTGCCAAACCAGTTCAACCACACCACACAGGTAAGTCACACGTGAGGTGTGTTCGATTCTACTTAGTTAGATTTAAGAAAGGGATTGGATATATATACAGTAATATATACAGTTTGGGTACTACTCCTTAGGATGCAAGATTTCGTGGCGGTTCCCACCGGCTGTCCTATGTTCTAGGGGTGTTCGTTTTGAACGTTTCAAGGACATCCACCACCGACGAGAGCCACAGCTAACAGGTGTAAACATTATTAAGACAAAAAACTTCAATGAATCGATACTCATGAAACTTAGCTCCTTCGGCACTTCCTCCTACAATACTTCTTCCTTGCACATAGACGCACATGGCGCCTGAGTTACTCACAATAACACATTCCAGAAATAACAGTCATTTACAGAAAAGAGAGTTGCAAAGAGAAAGCTGCCCACTTTCGTCTGGGAGACAATGTGTCGACCGCGTCGAACGAACGCTAGCCGGTTTCGCACCGACCTGTATAGACGACGAAAGAGTGCAACTCATAGCACCTCTAGAACATTGGACAGCACGCAGAAACCGCCACGAAATCTCGCAGCTGAACGGGATGGGGTGACTTTCGTTAGTAGTGCCACATTTGAATACTAAGCACACAAAAACACCTAGCTTTTGAAGAAACAAAAATATATCATATGCTACAAACTCATGGTGAATTGCTTGGTTTTAGTGAGTTAATATAACAACTAGTTTGGTAGAAACTTAAGAGTTGATCACTTCTGTTTCCACAGCTTGAGGTCTATAGACACCTAGAACGTCTGTGGCCATACATGGACCAGTCCTGCTCAAAGAACGTCCGCGTCCTGGCATGCGCTACCTACCTACCTAAATGCCACGGAAAGCACCCTGCTCAAGGGCCGTGTAAGAAAACCTGCATGCAAGCGAAGAAGAAATGTGCCGTGACGTTGAAAGAGCTAATGGGCCTCAACTGGGCAGACAAGTTTGAATGTAAGGTCAGTATGTTATACGTTGATAACATCGCCTGATATTGCTGATAAGGATAGATTAGCGTCGTAAGGTCATTGAAACTATGTGTCTAGCGACCTGTATTTTTCCTACTCCCCTTAATTTTTCTTCTTCTTCTTCCTCTTCATTTCTTTATTCTTGGCACCTCATAAGGTAGTGAGTCTATCATGGAACAGACTGAAGACCTCTGGTTTTAAAACAGCTACCACCCCGGGACATAGCATGCCAATTGCCATGTATGTAGTTCAAATTTGTAAGACAAGATGCCCCAAATGAATTAACAGATCCGTCTGTGTTTGTACAAACAGCTGGAAACCACGCAAGATTGTGTCATAACACTGAAAGATGAACTGTCCTTGACCTATGTGGGCGAAGGACGCGCAAGCATGTCGAAATAGCTCATGCTGTGACAGGACTTGAGATTGCAGCCGTTCTAAAAAAAATGCAGGCAGAAAACAAAGTTGTAAGAGATCGTCCAGGCATTTCGTCGGTTCTTTTCCTGTCACAGGTTGGGGAATCTGAGGCGAATAAATACCGAGAGATGCCAAGAAAAGGAACTTGATACGTCAATGTATTACCTAAATGTATCTGCGAACACCTGTTGGATATGGCTAAAGTAAATATTAGCTATGTTATGTTAGCACAATCAACGTCCAACACTTTGTGTATCCAACTATGAACACTTTACAGCTAGCCAAAGAATACTGGTAACGTTTGGTTTGGATAACGGATCAACATCATGGCACTAGGGTAGTAATCCATAAGTGTTACTTTCTATTTCTAACTCAAGCCTGAGTCCGAAGGGGCTTAGCACAGTGCACGAACTCCGTAGCACTGGCGAGGATCCTGAAATACTTTGAGCAGATTTTTAACTCCAAATTTTGCGCGGGCAGCGCCATTAGACTATTCTTTTTGATTTCTAACTGCCAGTGGATTTTACGTGCGCAACAAAACACACGGGCGTCCAATCTCACTACCCAGAGAACAGGGGAATTTACTAGACGTCCACTTGAAAAAATCCCAGCCTTCACCAGGGACTGAACCCGGGACGTCCAGCTCTAATCTGTGTGGCTGTTTGTGTGCGTCTGCATGTTGGTCTCTGTGAGTATCTGTGTGTGCAAATGTGTGTTTGTATGCATGAATGCCTGTATGTTTCTATGTATGTATGTATGTATGTATGTATGTATGTATGTATGTATGTATGTATGTATGTATGTATGTATGTATGTATGTATGTATG